GAAGAATATGAGGAGCGAATCATGCAGCTATCTGGGGAAAGAAGCACCCCAAACCCTGAAAGAGCAAAAGTGCAAAGTCCCTGCAAAGGATCCCAAAAATACACCATGCCTGGCACATTCAAGGAAGCTCAAGGAGGAGTAGAGGTCAGAGAGGTGGGAGCCGGAGTGCAGATCACGTAGGGCTGCAGAGGCCACAGGCAGGACTTTTTGGTTTTTACTGGAACAAGATGGGAAAACATCTGAGCAGAGAAGTTATCTTATCTGGCTTAGTTTTTTGTTTTTTGTTTTTTTTTTTTTCCAAATAAAACAGAACACTGCTGTTTTAGCTGCTGTGTTGCAAAAAGACTGTAGGGGGCCAAGAGCAGAAGCAGGGAGACTAGTTGGGAGGCTGGCAGGAAAACCTCCTCCTCCCTGCAGGAAGGAGAGGGCAGTAGCTTGGCCAACAGTGCGGGCCACAGAGGTGGAAGACCTGTGGGAAGCGCGCATGCGCTCCGGTGGAGCCAACAGCATTGCAGCCGCAGTGGATGTGGGTGTGAGAGAGGACAGTCAAGGAGAACCAGGTTTGGGGGCCAAACAACTCAAGGAATGGAATTTGTCGTTTACCATGATGGAGATTATGAGAAGAGTAGATTTGGGGGAGAAGGATCCAGAATGAGGTTTTCTGAACAAAAGTTTGAGATGCCAGTAGGCGTTGGTTATTTGCGAGGTCCAGGAAAAAGGTCTGGGCTGAAGAGGATTATTTGGAAAGCATCTGTGTATTGTAGTTTTATATGATACTCTTCATTAGTATAATTAGAATTATTCTACTAAGAAAGCTTTGCGAGAGCTCATCTGTTTCACAAAACACGACATCCTTTCGTAGAGACAGACTGTATGTAACAGTCCCATACTGGGAAGTTCTCCTGAACGCCTTCTCCCTTGAGGTTTGTGTGGTATGACATCTTATTTGCCCATTTCAAAGGGATTAAATACCTCCCCTCCTTTCCCTACCTTACCAGATCCCCAACAGCAGAGAAGAGTTCAGTTGCTCTTGCAGCACATTTTAAGGCAAAAGAGAAAAGCCTTCACTGTGGAATAGAAATATCTCAGAAACCACTTGGCTCCAGGGCACCCCAAGAGAGTGGGGGCATTGGATGAGAAGGCCCACCAGATTGCTTCAAGGCTTTGCTCTCCCCTGGTGCGCACAAATGTGTCTGTCATAACACACAGTGGCCACTAAATTTGTCAAGACTCCCCACTCTGGGAGAAGGACAGTCAACTGTCTAAACCTATAGAAGGGTGTGGGGAGGGGCCGTGCACAGACAGGCTTTCCTAGACTTTACTCTGAGCAAATGGCAGATGCCTAATTAAAGCATTTGCAATTAGTTTGGCTTGTTCTGTGATTCCTTCCTGCAAACAAATAAGATGGGGAGACTATATCAGTTCTTGGCAATCTAGTTCTAAAAAAAAACTTTTTGTCCCATCATCACTCTTTTGTCCTGCTCTGAATAGAGCTGAGCTGCTATGCACATAGAGTAAACTATCTGACTTACCTCCTTGTTCAAAACAGTGTTTTTGCTTCCATTCACATGACAGCGCAATTGCCTATCTGCTTTTAAAGCATGAGTATTTATTTTGAATTTAATACAAGATTTTAATTTGGATGTCTTATTTTTATTCAATGAAGATAACAGTCTTCCTACTTCTTTGCTATCTTGATTTAAAACACACTAGACTTCACTAGTGTAATGTTACCCGCCTACTCAAAATGCAAATGCTATATGTTTTAAATGACTGAAAAAGCATTTACTAAACTTTGAAAGAACTTGAGGGGTGTGTTTGTGTGTAAATAAAGACTTGCCCTTATGGCCACTTTGTAATGACCACTTGCTTGAAGGCATAGATTCCCACCTCCCCAGGAAAAATAAACAGGTCCACCGTAAGTGGAGAAATGTGAACCATGTGTAACTATTTCTTTCATTCATTCATTCAACATTCACTGGAGTGTTCTCTACAGGTTCTTATAATTTTTAACCTATTCAAGCATAAGTGTTTTATCCAATAAGTGCATTCTGCAGATGGCTCCTGACATAGGATGATTTGGGGTGTCTGCTTAACATTTGCATATATGGATTATAGGCATTATTGAAAATGTGGCACAAGTCCAAAGGGTGATAACTAAAATCTCACACATGGGAAAGATTGTCACGCCACTAACACTGTAAATAAGAAACACAAAGTAGAATGCTTCTTTACATCAAGTTGAAAAAAAGACTCCTAACACAAAAGTGAAGTTTTAAATCTGATCATTCTTGGCTGCTTTAGACTAGACTGCAAAGTTCCTCATTCAAGAATGGCCTGAAACCAAATTAATAACTGGGAGTTCGGGTTACTCAAGAGCCAAATAAAAGTTACCATATAAACAAACATGGGTAAACCAAATTCAAATAGCTAGTGCAATTATTTTTTTTAATAGATAGTTTAGGTTAATAGGTGGAGACACCGTTCTGCCACTGTATTTAAGGTTAGGTTAATAATTAACTTTGGTGCCTGGAGTAGTTTAATCAAAGCTTACTGTAAATCATAAAACTGCTCCGTGCAGACTAAACACGGTATTAAAAAGTCATACAAAATGCTTGCAATCTTGACCTCTGGTAGCCATTCAGGTAAGGTGTAAAAAGTGCAGAGTATTTCCATTCACGATTGAACACAGGCATCTTTGCTCTGTGGGGAAAAATCTAAATAAAGGATTAATGTATCCAGAGCCACAAATCGTCCCCTGCCATCCCAGTAGCAGACCATGGACTTTATGCTCAAGACGTGTGTATACCAGGGGACAGAAGACTGACAATTAGCAGGATTATCCCAGAAAGACTTAAAAACCAGCGCTGGGGGGCATTAAATAGCTTTTCTGAAACCTGCTGTCAAAACACTGCAACTGGGTTAACCCGCTTTTCAGATGTGGGCAAAGAAAGTTGAGTGCAAGTGAGACAGTGTGTGCTCCGGTGTGTGCGTGTGTGTGTGTGTGTGTGTAGGTGTGTCCGCCTGCGCCCGTGTTTTAAACATTTCACGGATCGCATTCAGTAGCAACTCGATTTCCACTGGGCTTACGAAAGGAGCGATCCCACTGTGGCTGTGCCTGGCCACCACACTCCCAAAGCAGTCCCCTTTCTCTCCAAGACCGACACGGAATGGCAGGCAGGGCTGACCGCCGCGCTGCAGGCCCGGAGGCCGCCCCTGCAAGTGCTCGCGCTGGCTGTGGCGACAGCGCCTCGGGTCTCGCGTTCCTCCCCCGGCCACGCACACCTGGCCCTGCTCGCTCCTCCCTGGACATCCGGCGGCTGGAAAACTGCGCGCAAGGTGCAGAATGCTGGGGATGCTGCACTTGGAGCTGGTTACTTGCAGACGAGCGGGTCCCCGCCACTGTCCACACGCACCCTGCGACAGCCTCTGACCAGAGCGGCCGCACCTGCATCCAGAGTCCGGCTTCAACACCCCCAACCCCCATCCATCTCTTCCCCGACTGGTCCAGCAAGTGCCGCGGGCCAGGAGGCGCCACTCTCCAATGGGCCGCCACCTCGTCCTAGCCGCATCCCGGGCTGTCCACATGATTTCCTCCGGGTCCCATTTCTCGCAGACTGCACTTGCTGAGCCCCAATCCTGTCGTGTCTGCTGCCCCTAGCTTTCAGAGAAACTTTCCAGAAGCGCCTGGTTCAGTGACCCCAGTGCTGTAAAGGGGGCGGAGGCGCCGGGCAGAGGGGCGGCGAGGGAGCGGGAAAGGCAGCGGAATCCGGTTTCCTTTCCCGACACACACAAGCCCAGGACCGCTTCCTGGCTCCCACTGTGACACTCAGCTCGTGCGAGAAAGGAGGAGACCTCAGCATCCTGCTTTGCCCCGTCTCCCTCAGTGAGGAACGGAGAAAAACGCGGAGAACTGGGGGAAGAGACATATCCCACCGGTGGCCAGCAGGGTCCCCAGGCAGGGTGGGTAGTTAATGCCTGACTGGCTCCCAGGTGACCTGCCCCTGTGCCAGCGCTCTAGGACACAGAGAGAAGTCGGGACAGAGCCCTAGTCTGAGTGGCAAACCCAGGGCCATCTCTAGCCAGGTCTCCCCACCCTTCCCCCTCCTGGGACGCCTCCTTTCCAGAGAGGGACCTAGCAGACCTCGGAGGAGGACGCAGCATACGCCAGTCCCATCGTGGAGGGCTCGGTGCTTGAGGGGGACGCAGCTGCGACGGACTGTGTCCTCGCCGCTCGGGTTGGGAGCTGTGACGGGGGACGGGACCCAGGGCGGGGGCGCCACGCCACGCCAAGAGGCCGCTCCTGGGCACTTATTCGAGCAAACAAAGCCCGGAACCTCTGGTGCCAGCGGCCACAGGAGCCGGGATCTGACCCAGAGGCAGGGCGCGCGGGTGCCCAGGGCCATTACAAGTTTCCCGGACTCCACGGAGCCCAGCCCAGACCCCGCGCTGACAACAAAAGATTCCCTCGGCTTCCACACCATCTCCGCGGAACTCCTCTCCCGACCCAGAATGCAAACCAGGCGCTGGACGAAAACAGCGCAGTTGTGCCCAGCCCCCTACAGCCCCCGAGGGCAGCCCCCTAGCCCTGCCTTCGAAACCGGGACAGGGAGCTCCCGCGAATCCCACCCTCTCGGCCCGCTCTACTCCCTGCCGGCCCGAGAGAGAGGACGAGCTTGGGGTCCGGCACACACACGCACCCCCGGGGCGGCAGCCATCCGCGCCGTCGCGGTCCGGGGCGGCGCCGGGCGTGTGCGCGACGCGGGTGGGGAAGCTCCCGACGCGGAGCCGGGCGGTCTCTGGGGCGCAGGGCGAGGAACAGCGGGCAGGGCTCACTGCTGCTCCCCCAGGACCCGGCAACGCTCGGGAGACCGGGACACGAGACAAAATAAAACACAGACACCACAAAGCCGACAGCACGCGCTGGCCGCGGTCCCCGGACCCTCTGGCTGGAGCCCTGCGCGCAGGAGGTGGGGCGCGCCGGGGCGCCCCGCTCGTACCTTTTCGGTGCATCGACGGGCGGAAGGCCGGCTCGGAGCGGACTGGCACAGCGTGTGTCCCATTTAGTAATCCATTATTGAGGGGTTCTCTCTGGGCCGCGAGCTGCGCTCTCTCCTTCGCAAGCCTTTGTCATTCCTACATGTGTGCTTGTCTCTTTGGGGGGCAACAGTCGCGGCGATTACTTTCTGGGATGCAAGCGCGCCGTGTTCATCTCCAATGACGGTCGGAGAGAGGCGAGGAAAAAAGGACGGCCAAAAAAAAAAATACCAAGAAGAAGAAGAAGAAAAAGGGAGAAAACCAACAAGGAAGAGGGGCAAATGTTCAAGAAACTCTTCTCCAAATCCAAATTCCACTTGGATTCCACTCCGGTGAGTCCCCTCGGTGGTGTCTGCGCCGATTAACAAGTCATTTCGGGGCGGGGGGCGGGTGGGGGCTGGGGCAGGGGTGCACGGCTCTGGCCCGGCTCCTCGGCCGGCGCGCGGTGCCGCGGGCGTGGAGATGCTGGCCGCCGCCGCACGCTCTCACGCGGGCATCGCGGGCGATCGGCACCGCGGAGGAGCGCCGCTGCTGCGTCCCGAGCGCCTGGGCAGCCGAGTGCGCTGGGAGCGGAGTTGGCTGCAGCCTCACCCCGTGCCACTCACTACTCCTCTGTCACCGGAGAGGCCGCCGCTCCCGGGCGGAGCCAAGTCCCGGACTGGATTGCGCAGAGCGGACTCTCCTCCTGCAACCCCGCCTCCTTTGGCTGGCGTCTCCTCCGACCCAAAGGAGAGCTGTGGGGTGTGTGTGTGAGTGTGTATGTGTGAGTGCGAGCGAGCGAGGCCGAGAGGGAAAACCTGCGGGGTGTGGCTGCAGGTGGAGTCTCGGACCGACCGGCCAGCGCCGCTTCCTTCCACCGCGACTCCCGGCCCCAGGACGCGCTCCGCCCAGGCCTGGCGGGGGCGACTCGGTCGGGGGGAGCCCAGCCCTCACCTCCCCCTCCCCCACATCTGCTCTGGCTAGGGGGAAAAAAAAATCCCGGACAGCATTGCTGAGTGTTGCCAAATCAGAAAAATAAATAAAAATAGACGTAGTGCAGGAGCAAGTTACAAGAAAGATTTTGTTCATCGATTTTCTTAAATGGAAAAGTTTGAGAGGAGGAGGGTAAGTGAACGGCGAGCCTGTCTAGTTCTGATTGCTGTTAGGAAGAGGTGGGTTCCAGAAGTGCTGGACGCTGTTCGTGCCCAGGTGAATTGGATAGAAGCCGGTGCGGTTTTAAAAATACACTTGGAAGATAAGAACGCAGCTATTAGTTACGCACATGCACACGTTAATAAACCGTGTTAAGTAAAGCAAATAAACGACAATGCAGGGAATGGTGTCATTAACGACGGCGATCTGTTTTAAAACTTTAGTTGTTTTTTTTTTTAACGCACACGGTGTATGGACTGTTCTTAGAAATAAACTTCAGAAATAAGACGCAAACAATTCCAGCGAGAGCCCAGCAGCTTCACGGAAGAGGAAAATCGCAACTGCTTCCACGGCACTATTGTTTTGGCCGCACGGCGAATAGCAGCCACGGCCTTCCTCCACCACTCGAACTTTCGGGAGCCAAGAAGTCGTGCAGGGACGGGCCTGTGCCAACTCGTCGGGCCACCCCACGCTCCCCTCCCCCGGCCGCTGCGCGCGCCCCGCAAGCCACTGCGCGCCTCGGCCGCCGCCCCCCAAGTGGGCCCCGCGGAGGGTGCGACCGGAGTCGCGGCCTTCAAAGATAGTGACACCGGGCGGCTCAGCGGTCCTCGGGGGAGAGATATTTCCTTGCTGGTCTCGGGGTCTGCGGAGAAAAGCAAGTGGGGGGAGGAGGTCTCAGTGCTACTTAGGCCGAGTGCCCTCATATTAGAAACTGTACCTGTTCCCTAAGTGGTGCTAGGGCCACTAGTAAGTCCATGTTTCCTTTATGGCCGTTTTTTGCACATACAGACATCTGCTGAAGATGGTTCAAGAAGAATAAATGCATGCGCGACGACACCCCTTTTTTTCTTCCCAAACCACCTGGAAAAAGGTGGGGAGAACTGTAAGCAAAAAAAGTCAGCACCTCTGCCGTTCTCCAGAGATGCCAGCAGGGGCCGCTATCTCCACCTTTCCCGGGCGAAGGCCGCCACGGACCCGGGTGGCGGGGGGCGCGGCTCGAGGTGCGCGCGCAGCCCCCTCGGCTCCGGGCGCCAGAACCTCGAGAGTACCGTGGGGCGCGGGGCGGCGGCCTTGGATGCGCGCTCCTGCGGCGTGGGTGGGGACTGGCCCCTGGACGCCCCCTTATTATCCCACGGGGCTCAGGGGAAAGGCTGTGCCGGCCAAGACGGCTGGATCCCCGGCTGCGCTATTTAACACCCGGGTTTCGGCTGGTGACAGCAGTCAGTGTGAGCCGGGTCCCCTAGCTGGTCCGTGCGCTCTGGCGCGGTCCCGCTATCCGGTGTCCGGCCCTCGTGGCGCCGGCGGTTCTCGGTCCCGCGCTCCACTCCACCCGGGTCGCCTAGACGCCGCCTTTGCTCTCCGCCGCTGATTTACATGCTAATTGTGTCTGGGAAAAGTTCTTTAATTGGCAGAATTAGGCAGAGCAAACGAATTGTTTCACAGGCTGAACCAAATTAATTCCGGGTTTAGCTCCTTCCCTTGGAGAAACAAACAATTAAGTTGTCTTGTTTGCTTTATGGATATATTGGAAATACCCCACATCGGGTTTCAGAATATTATTTAAAGGGAAATTATTTTCAGTGTTAATACTTGCATGTTTAATTTGTAGTAATGCTGAGCTAAGAAGCAAGAGATTAAATTTACCTAATTTAAAATTATGGAATACAAGAGGAAAAGAATTTTAGTTTACTTTTGCACGGCGAAGAAATACCACCCAGACTCTTCCTGGCAATTATTAGATCCTAAAATCTCAACATCCAATTAGACGCCTGTCGTCCTGAGCATGTTATATTACGTTTCCACCTGCCAGAAGAGAGATGCTCCAGGAGCTAGAAGATAAATCAGCCATCCTGAGGCTCCCGAAATCCTCTTGGGAGCACCTGTGGGGAGGCCAGGAGATGAAACTTCATGATGTCATTTCCCATGTGTGGCCTCAGACTCACTCCCTGAAGCCTGCCTTAACTTTTCAGTAAAACCCTGCAAAGCCTTGGAATTGTGCGATTCACCCTGTTTCTTCAGGAAAAGAAAGCCAGTGAGAGTTAAAGAATCAGTGTTCCAACTAGAAGGAAACTTCAGCCAGTTTTGTAATTAAGTGACATAAAGTGGAGTGATTAAGGCCCTGGTCTCTGGAGACTGTCTGAGACTATGTAACTTACTAGCTGGTGATCTTGGGCAAGTTGCTTATCTGTCTGAAGCCCCCAGTGGCCTCACCTACAAATGGAATTCGTATATTCACTTCCCTGGGGATCCCGTGGATTAAATGAGATGGTGTTTGTAAATCTTGATTCTAGGGCACACACTGCTTTGCAAAGTTTAACTAGCATCATTGTCATCTTTGTCATCCTCCACATCAATCTTGCTGTCACATTTTACAGGGTTCATAGACGGAAGCACAGAGGAAAGAAGTGGCTTGATTTGTGTCAATGATTGGGTCAGGGGTGGGAGCCACTTGTAACAACTCCCCTTCAATAAATGCTTACATTCAATAAATGTCCACTCTCCTCAAATCACCTGGAAAAAGTGGAGGACGAGTGAAATAAAACAAAAAGGTAAATTCACCTAGGATCCCTTTAGAAACCACATCTAGCTGTCTGGTCAGAATCTCTGCTTTGAGACAAAGACAGGAAATTGGGAGATGAAGGAGCTTTTGGTGCTTACTGCTCAGTTCCCTTGTGCGGGTAAGTTCCCAGGGGGCAGGCGGGGAGCACAGTTTGTACATTCAGGACCCTATCTTTCATGATCAGGAAACCTACCTGTATCCTCAGAACCCTTCTCCAAAGTTCCCTCCACCTCTTTTCCTTAAATCAGTGGTTTTAAAAATCCACTTGCACATTAGAATTACCAAGGAAGCTCTTAAATGACACAAATCCCCAGGTTCCAGAGATTCTGTTTGACCAGGTGAGGGTGGGACCTGGGCATAGGTACTTTTTTAAACTCCCCAGATGATTCTAATGTTCAGCCAGGGGTGAGAATGGCTGTCACAATGAATCCCTGCTGTGTTCTAGAATGCTGCTTTTTCCCAGCCTTTTCTGGTGGGGCGTGTTTCTTCTCCCTCTTGCCCCTTTATCCCAGTGTTGGGAAGAGAGGCCCGTGTCCTCCCTGCTCCTCGTGTTGCTTTCAGGCCATTTCTCCCCCTCTCAGAAACTCCCAGACCTTTGGCATCTGCACTCTTACAAACACGTGTGTGCTATCATTCACAGACCTTATTTTACGCCATTCTTCAAAGAGTTAGGGCCAGGCTTATTGTCCTCCTATCTGTCCCACTTGCTGTCGTCACTCATGGTACTATTAGCTAACCACTATTAGCTAACCACCTAACCACTGGCCCTCTGGCTTCTCAGTTTCTTATCTTCCTCACCTACAGCCTTTTTCTACTCCCCTCTGCCACCCACTCTGGGTGTTCATGCTGGGCTTTACTATCAGAAAATGCTCCATCTTCTAAATCACTAATTCTGATGCCCCATTCTCCAATCACAACTTCCTCTCATCCCAGCTTCTTTGCTCATGCACTTGCTGCATTCACTCTGATTTCTTGAAATTTTCCAGATTGTCAGTGTTGCGCCTCTCTCTCTCTCTCTCTCTCTCTCTCTCTCCATCCATCCACTCCCTCCTTTCATTATCTCTCTATCATGCATAGCTTCATAATAGCAATGTGGTCTCTATCTCTCAAATACTTTCAATTCCTTCCCTCCTCTATCTTTTGGTCAATGCCTATCTGACTAAAGGTTAGTCCTGAATTGTGTAAACATCATCCTTTGCTGCTCTTGCACTGGGTAGCTCAGTCCTGCTGGAAAACTCTTAGGCAAGTTGAGTTATCCAGATCACTTGGATCCTCAACCCTGCTGCACCATTGTCTTCCTTCTTCCTCAGTTAGCCTCTAACTCTCTCCCCTTCATCAGATGTGTCCCCCTTGGTGCCTTCTACTTCCCTGAAAAAACAGAGTCTAACTGTGGGGACGTCTTTCCTTCGACCTCGTGATGTTCTGAGCGTCTCCTCTAATGACGGAGGCAATGTCTGTCTTCCAGTGTGACACCAGCCCCTCCCCATGCTCCCAGTTGTTCACACACGCTCAGAAATTCTGTGCTATTGTTCCCAGCCCCCTCCTGCATGTAAGCAAGCTTCAGTCTTTCTCATCTTAGAAACAACTCTCCTTGGATCCTCTGTTTCTTTCAAGCTACCTCCTCTCCTCTCTTCCAAAGCCAAATATCACCAGAGCTTGTTGATACCCACCATTGCCACTTCCTCCTCTTTCATCTACTCATTCCTCAGTCTGGCTTCTGTTCCCAGCACTCCAATGACAAGGCTCTTGCTAAAGTCTTCAGTGACAGTAAGTCCAGTGGACATTTTTAAGGTTTTCATTTTATTTGAATTCTCAGCAACATTGAACATGGCCATGCCTTCCCTTGTGAAATGCTCTCTGCTCTTCTTCCACTTCTCTTTTCTTTTTTTTTTTTTACTTTTTCTTTTGAGGAAATCAAAAGATACAAATTTTTTCAAAGAATAATATAATAAACATCCCAATTTTCATCACTCAGAATTAAGAACTGTTAACATTTTGTTATATTTGTTTCCTGTCTTTAAGAAAGAAAACGTGGTGAATATAGCTTAACTTTTTTATAATTAACACCTCTTTCTCACTCCCATGACCTCTTTTCCATAGGTAACATGATTTTGAGTTTTCTGTGC